ATGCCGCTCAAACCTCACATAATGCTCGTTTTGTTCCTTTCTAATGCTCCGATGCTCGAATAGTCGTATAATGCCGAATATAATGCCGGCATTATCCGCTGGACCCTATTGAGCACACGAGCAGAGATGCCATGGCTATTTGCATTGGCTTAAGCTGCACCAGGAGACAAAGGGCCTTTCTACTTCAGCATTCAGGAACGCCTTGCTTTACCAGTAGACCACGATTTCAGTCCATATTTGCTTCTTTCTTCTTTTCCTTTTCTTTTTGACTTCTTACTCTTTTCCTTGTTAGCCGTGGTTGGCTATAAAAACCCTGCAATCGCCACGCAAAGTGGTCATTGGCTACCCCAGCCATGTATTGCTTGGAATAAAATAAATAAATAAATAAATAAAGACCACCGTAACTAGCGACCAGCCTGGTACTACAGACCACTTCGCCAGGCACCGACGGTCTCACATTCATATTATGGTTGTGCGCTGCAAACCTCTAACTAAGGACCACCTGCGGCTAAAGACTGCTTTCTCTGGTCCCAAGGGGTGGTCGTTAGTCACAGGTTTTACTGTATTATTTAATTTATTTTAAATGTATTATACATGTACCTTACAGTAGCCAGTTGAAGGTGTAGGCACACACGGCGACGTGACTGAGTGCAACGGGTTTGGATGATTGATAAGTAAAGTCAGACTACAACTACACATACACCATAATTATCATCGGAAAGTCACAGTGTAACTACATGTAGATTGTGAGACAATGAAGAAGGAAAGGACAGAGGCTTTGCTGATACAATCATGTTACATTGTAGGTTGAAGGCAGGCATTCCTGTCTACATGTACATGTATGTTCAAGGTGGTAGAATGTTGTAGAGGTACGGAGAGGAGTAGCGGGTGTGCTGATGGAGACTTGGAGTGACCCTCGGAGTTGTAGGCTACACTTCCTCTATGAGTCTGAGAGCGGGAAGCAAACATGTGACTATAGTCTATACTAGTATACTATTGAATATTATTATTATTCTTTTATTCCACGATGGCGTGTAGCCATTGGCGTGACGCCAATAAGGATGATTAATTAGTGCGATAGAACTGGTACTAGCCAGAAACAGCTAGATGGAAATTAACCGGGAGGCAAGAAGCAATGGATCATGAAAAACAAGCGGGGGCAATAACGTTAGGAGGGGTGATCGAGATAGTTAAGTACACGTTCGAGATATCAGAAACCAGGGGGATGCGTGGAGCAGGAGCAGGTACTGCTCAAAAGAAGACTGGATGCATTGTTTCGGAAAGAATTTCTACGAGGTTGGGTTGTGATGTTGTTGTTGTTGTTTTCTTTATTTGAATTCGCTAAAACCAAACGGACAGAACTGTCCAGTGACAAGGGAGCGAATGATGAGCGTCATAATCACTATGCATCAAAACATCTCAGGACAAAATGAGACAGACTATATTAAGGGAGGGTCCGCACAACACTTGTACATAAAGGGGAGTACGAGAACAAAGGCGCGGCAGAAGTCGAAGCAAGAAAGCAATCAACGCCAGAGATATTTTTGTCCACCAAAAACAGAGAGAGAGAGAGAGAGAGAGAGAGAGAGAGAGAGATCCGAGAGCGAGAGAGAGACAGAGAGAGAGACTAACAAATGAGGGCTGAGACCTCTACAGCAGGGCTTTACGTCTGAAAACAACCGCACGAATTAACAAGCAAGTTGTCAGAGAGCAGGGAGAGAGACGGGCAGGCAGGCCAACAGGCAGGCATATAATGAAAATATGGCGATAGTGATCCGTCTGACCTCAAGGGTTCATGCTGTGTGGAACAGCAGCAGTGCGAAATTGGGCCGGGTGCGGTATGGCCCGTACCTCGCTGGGCAACGCATTCCAGAGCCTAGCTCCTTGGAACGCGAGACAACCCTTACCCAGCTCAGTGCGGGTTGGCGATGGTCTTAGACCCATCGATGATTGCAGCCGAGTAGGAGCGCCACTGGTTGGTAGCAACAGCACTTGCAGTGTGGGGCTAGCACGGGAGTAGCGGCAGCGCCAAACCAGGAAGATGAGCTTCTGGATGAAGATCTCCCGGACACGGTAGGCGCCGAGTTGGACTAGCAGGTTTCTGGCAGAGGTGCGCGGCGAGCATCCGTACACAGCTCGAGCCGCACGATTCTGCAGAACTTGGAGACGGTCCAGGTGCTTACCCGCCAGCGATGCTGAGAAGGCATTGGAGCCATATGAGAAATCAGGCATGATCACCGACTTGAAGTACTGGATGCGGCTTTGCATGCTGAGGCAGCGGCGCATCCGCCACAGCACACCGACTTTCTTGGTGAGGCGGGCAACGCACCTATCCATCTGGGTGTTCCAAGACATGGCGCTGTCAATGTGAACTCCGAGGTAGCGAGCAGAAGAGACAGATGGCAGCTTAGTCGCATGACACCATACGTCCAGTTCAGGTTGCGCTTCTAGCTTCCCAGCCGGTACTACCAATGCCTGACTTTTTGATGCATTAAGGATCAAACCTCGCTGCTTCAGCCAGTCAGCAATGCATGTCACTGCTCTGGAGAGAGTGGCGGTCAGTTCCTGTTGTGTTGGGCGACTGCAGGTCAGTGCGATGTCATCTGCGAACTGGATGGACTCAGCTTGCTGGGCAACAGATGGTATGTCCCGGGTGTAAAGGCTGAACAGCAGTGGACCTAATACCGACCCCTGTGGTACTCCACAGGAGCAGGCTGCCACTGTGCTAAGCTGGGATCCCAGCTGGACAATCTGGCAGCGATCAGACAAGTATGACATGAGCCACTGGAGCGCTGTTCCAGTGACGCCCACACAGAAGAGATCTTCGACTAGTTGCTGGTGGCGAACCTTGTCGAACGCCTTCGACATATCCAGGAGGACCACACCCGTGAACATGCGGCGGTCTCTTGAGGCGAGGATCCTGTTTACCATCAGCACAAGGGCATCCTGTCGATAGGGAGTGAGTTGTAGAGGGTGAGGGCACTGTTGATGGGGGAATCTCGGTGCCTGTTCGTGTGTGCGTGTCCGATGGAGTAGGTCCTTGTCTGTCGAAGGGTGTATGGTTGGTGTTGACGTTGTGGTGCAAGGTGTGGTTGTTGCAGGTGTGGTGGGGAGGTTTGGTGGTGGATGTCCCATGCTAGTAGGGTTTGTTTAACAAGGAGTCGTGAGCTAAGGGTGGGGAGCTTTGCGTGATGGAGGAGGGAGCTGTGGTGAACTGGTGCAAAGAGGGGAATCTGAAGGCAGATGCATATTATTGTTGTGCGTGAGGTAGTGAAGAAAAGAAGCCTGACCCGGCGGTGACAGCTAGGCAGGGGAATGGAGTCTAAGCATAGGAAGCTCACTCTAGGAATGCATGGCCCTGGATTACAACTAACTTGACTGAAAAGAAGGTCAAGCAATTTTAGCCTACACTGACTAACTCGACTGATGTCGACAAGGCTCCTTCCTATCCGTTGGTTCGAAATCAAGTATCATTGCCTTCTCCTCGTTTATCTTTGTTTCTGAACTCACTATGGCACATCGATTTTGGCTCTCCCTTTCATTCGACGTGCTGGGACACTTTCCGCTTTCAACAAGGCTCTTCGTAAGTAACGCACCACTTTTATTTTATTTTATTTGTTTTCTTAAGTTCGTATTGTTTTATTTATTTATTTTTATTTATTTTAATTTTTTTTTAATTTGCCTTTTTGCCCTCGCTCGGTCCGTGGTTGGTTTCACCCTGCACTTCCTTGTATTGGCTATTTTCATTACCGTATTTCCGCAAATAAAAGGCCGTCCTCGCCTTCCTCGTATACAAGGCCGGGGCGCAGGGCGATTGAAAAAATAAAAGACCGTCTCCGATTAGAAGACCGGGCCTACTAAATGAGTCTTTGTTCTTGTGTTAAAAATAGAAGACCGTGCTCAAACTGTGGGAAAAAATAGAAGACCGTGCTCAAACTGTGTAGAAGAAAATGGAAGTACGGGGGTAAAACTGTGTGGCGAGAAATAGAAGACCGGGGGTCAAACTGGGTTGAAAGAATAAAAAGACCGTCCTCGAATACAAGACCGTCCTCGATTATAAGGCCGGGTTAGGACGAGGTTGAAAAAATAGTAGACAGGCCTACTATTTGTGGAAATACGGTATGTGCCATGAATTCATGAACATGAAGTGCAGACAGTAAATAAATAAATAAATAAATATCGTCTTTTTTATGCTTTTCTAAAATTTTCTAAAAAATTCAAATTTTTTAGCCAAACCGCGGAAAAAATGCGTTCGTTACCATGACAACAAAGCTTCATTTCGCGTTCCGCAAGTAAGTTTCACGGCCAAAGTTGCGATAGTTCGTGCGAAGTTTCTCACTTCGTGACGTACGGCAAAAGTTTTCGCACGAACTTTGTGTTCTGCACATTTTCATTTCGCGTTCCCTACAAGTTTCGCGGCCAAAGTTGCGAAAGTTCTTGCGAAGTTTCTCACTTCGTGACGTAGAGCGAAAAAACCCAGGAAAAACGCCCTTTTCTGGGTCGAAACCGTGCAGAAACAGGCAAAATTCGAAAATGCAAAAATGGGGCAAAAAAATTGACGCTGGCCTGGGGCCCAGGGAGTCGTCAAACGACTCTCTGGCCTGGCCTGGTTGTAACTATCTATCTGTCCTTTTGCCGTTTTGGGGGTATCAGGGAGTCGTAAAATTTTATTTTTACGACTCCCTGGTATAATTATGTAATTACTTTTTTCACAAGGCTGGAGCTAGCTCCCGGAGGAGTCTTGAGTGGAGAGCTAGCGCTAGAGACGAGGCCGGGGTCATGGCGACAAAATGGCGTACTGCGCTCAGATCATGCCCTCGCGCTCGTTACCAGGGAGTCGTAAAATACCGGTATTTTACGACTCCCTGCTCGTTACGTGATCGTGTCGTCGCGGCCGGCACGACCATATGCACGCGCGCGCCCAGTCGTGGATCTGCGCTGCATGCGTGCAGCTCGCTGAATATTTTTTTACGATTTGAGGAAAATAATACTCAATCAAAATTGTATTCTGCAATTTCTACGTAGCTTGAACTTTCGGAACTATCTACACTGTAGTCCAGTAATACTGGCATCGCCAGTACAGTATTCTGTTGCATGCAGTATTGTGGATTGTACGAATTTGTTGCCTTCTCAGTCCGGCGGTGGGAGTAGCTTGGAAATACACGTCCCAGTATGTTCAAGAAAAGAGACAAGAAAGCTAATTTGAGACGAACCCAAGATGATGACGAAGATAAAGCCGGTGGAGCTGCTGACGATGACAATGGCGAAGTGGGACTGGCAATACAGACGCCCATGAGCACACAGAAAAAGAAGCGCAAAGGGCCCGCCAGTGCTGAGAAAAAGTCCACTGTTCTCAGTTTTGGTGATGAGGAGGAGGAGGATGGTGAGGGTGATTCCTTTCAAATTAAACGCTCAGCGCATAGTCGCAAGGCCATTCAGCAATTTAAATCGAAGGGTAAACGTCAACAGCCTGATTCCAACACCAACACACAGTTATCAGCCAAGGGATTGTACACCAAGGAAGCCCTGGATGAATTACGGGCAGCGCAGGCACAGTCCTCGCAGCCATCCAGCAATGGGTCTCCCCGTGTCGCCGAGACAAGTGCCGTGCCAACACAGGATGAGCCGACCGAAGAGGAGCGCCATGCCGAAGCGCTTAAGTATGCCGTGGACTCTGCGCTCAAGTCCACGGAGCAGGGCGGTGCAGTCCCGAGTGCCGAGCTCATCCACCTTGCACGGAAAAAGCGTGAACGAGCACGCCAGACTGCCGAGTTTCTGCCGCTGGATGATACAGTACGCGCCGGCAGCAACGGAAAGCAGTCACGTATGGTGAGAGATGACGACAACGATCGCAGTGACGGTGATGATGGTTTTGAGCATCTGAACTTCTCTGACGTGTCACGCAAGGCAGCACAGCGGCAGCATCGCACAGAAATGGAGGCGGCCATCACAGGGTATTCAAATCAGGACGCCGCTGTGAGTAAGACGGCTGGAGAGGAGGCAATGCATGACGACAACGATGACGACGACGACGACGGTGATGCTGCCATACGCAGGTGGGAAGAGCAGCAGATGAGCAGCGCTGCATCGGCACGATCCCTGGGCACGGCTGCACGCGTCTTAGAAATGCAGAACAGAATGGAAGGCCTGGACTCGAACGCTTACGGGCCTAGTCGCTACGGAGCTGCTGCACGTGCGTCGGGCACGAGTGCAGGGAGGTTTGGGACTGTGCCTGCGACTCCCGTCGCTGCACATTCACCACTGCCTGCACAATCCGTGTCCTCAGTAAAGCAGCTGCCGCCTATCCTCTCCAGTGTCACGTCCTCGTCGGTTCTGTCAACTCTGATGGCAAAGCAAAGCGCTCTCAGTGAAATCACCACGTCACATGAAGGACAGATGTCGCGCACCACCGAAGAACTTCATCTTTCCGAGAAGGCAGCGGAGTCGTTGGAGCGACAGCTTGCCGATACGTCCGACAAGTACAATTTTTTCCAAGAAAGCGATGGCTATGTGGCAGACTTATTGACGTCATTAGATGAAAAGGTGAGTGATCATGGCCATGGCACTGGGGTTGGTGGTAAGCATCCGCTGGCTGAACTTATTTCTAGAGGTGAAGTTTGCAGCGAAAACCCGATTTGAATTTTCTAATTTCTTCAATTGAATATTGAAGTACTCTTCAGCCCCTGACAATCACTTATACAGTGGAGATTGGATATACAGTGAAACCTCGTTAGGAAGAACAGTGGGAAGACAACTGTTTGCCTGAGAAGAACTAGTATTCGTAACTGTATTGGATAAAACCCTGTGTATTCACTGGGTAAAACATCATGGATAAGAAGAATTCCCATTATTGCGAACAAATATCATCGGTCCCTTGGTGTTCGCCCTAAAGAGGTTTGACTGTGCATGTAACGACAAATCGAGTTTAGCGACAAAATTCTGTTGCCCAAGTCGTTCAGCAAGTCCTTTCTGTACATTATAGAGCGGGTATAACGACCTTGAAAATAACGACAGATCAAATTTACTGACACTTTTTGGTGCCCGAAGACCTGAAAATACATCGAATATAACGACTCTCCTCTTGTATCAGGCAGACTGGCATGTCTGGAATATGGCTGTGCCACGTGCCTGGACCTCCGGGTCACTCAATGTATGCTTTACATCGCACATTGTAGCTGCAGTGCAGTGGTACGCGATGACTTTGCCTTGAACACTGCATGCAAGACACGTGCAAATACACATCTGAAATCCATATGCATGATTATGCACATGCATATCTGTGACTTCATAGTTGCACGTTGTGTGAGTGTCCTATTAATCCAGTTGTGTCTGTGTTTGTGTTTGTTCCACTGCCACTTGCTTTTCCAGGTGAACACGCTCAGTTTGTTGGAGGACCGCTTCAACAGAACGTGGCAAGAGCTGTCCAAGTATCTGCTGGACCGGCGGAAGCAAGATCTTGCTGACGAGGCCAAGGAGAATGACCAGAATGGTATGAGCAATGACTTTGTTTGAGTCTAAACTGCAATGCTGCTCAATGAAATCCGGTCGTGTCACTCAAGTTTGCACCTTGCATAATTTCACAGCCCAGTGTTCACAGGTCTAGGGCTGCGCAACGCCCGGCGCGTACTCGAGTGACGCGACTGGATTTCATCAAGCAATTCTGTATTTTTTTAAGGGAGGAAGAAGTACATTGTCATCGTACATATGACTGCATGGGTGCCATGGGCTTTCCACCAGTATGCAGTGTTTTATTTCTCCCACCCTGAGGATGATGATGTTCTGACGGTTGCGGAAAACTCAGTCTATTTGAGTCTCACACGAACCTTGAATTTTGTCATTTTATTTTCTGACATTTCCGAGTCCATAGCTGTAGTCCTTGATTGGAGCACTGTAGGAGAGCATATCCCAGAGTTCAGACGGGGTGTTGTTGAAGGAAGAGAAGCAAGGAAGAGAAGCAAAGCCTGCGTGTCCACCCAGTTTCGCCACACACTTTGTTGAACTGATGCTGAACTCTTTTCTTCTTATAAATTGATGTAGGTTTAGTGTGCGTTCGGAATGTTGATGCCATGCGCTGCTTTTAAATTAATCTCTCCTTGCTGTGGTATTTAACGTCATGGCCCTTTTCTACTCTCTCCTTGCTGTGGTGGTTATGTGTGTAAATTAGGTAAGATGTTTGTCATGGAGCCGGCACATCGCCAGAGAGTTGCGGAGCGAGACGCACGCAGAAATCGCAGGCGCCAGCACAGGAAATCGTCCGGAATGCTGACGCATGACGACGGCCTCTCATCCGATGACGAGCTCACGGAAATGGAGAAGGTCAAATGCTCAACGGAAAAAGGTAGGATTAGAGCCGTGTTTGTGAATTTGGACTGTTGAGAAGGAAGTACTGTGGGCCGCTTGTCATCGTCAGTGTTCTGCACACTCAATCATGGCAGGGAAGAGAGAGGGGGGGGGGGGGGGGGGGGGCATTTTGTTCCTACACACCAACTCTCCTCTCTTGTGTTTACATTAGTACAGTGAACTGATAGCATTAATTTCGAGATGAGTAGATTCTGTGAAGAAGTATGAGCTTCTATAGCACAAGGACACACGCACGCACGCACGTGCGCACACACACGCACACACGCACACATGCGCGTGCACACACGCACACACACACACATCCGTGTAAAGATGACGCAATACTCTGTGGACATGAACGTGCGAAGGCAGTTTTGTCAGAATATCCAGCTGCCTCCTGCATGGCACATGTACAGTACTTAGCTCCGAAACGTACAATTTTTTCTTCAAATATTCTCAACTGGCTCCATTGTAAAGTCTTTCAGAGAATGTTTTGGCATGGACCTCCTGAACATTACCCTTTGCTGCACCCATCCATCAGCGATTGGCTGTCATGGGGTTTCTTTCACTTTCATCCGGGTAAAAGTCCATCAGGCTGAGAATTGTTCTCAAGCAAAGGTTTGCAAAAATCATTGTCGGTAAAATATATCAAAAAACTGTTTGAAGCTGGAAAGCAGCCGACTCGCGTATACGGGTTGTGAACGCGAGAAGCTAATCCTACCGTGTTTCACGTGCGTTTCGATGAACTCATTCCTGTTGATGTTTCACGGCTTGCTAATGGTCCCTACTGGGTCGTATCAAACCGAATTCTGTAAAGCTCGTTTATTTTTGATTGGATTTGGTATGTGTTTTTGAAAGCTTTTAGAGATGTGAATCATTTTTTCACCATCTCTGTGTTGCTGTTTTAGAGTCCATCGGGGTGGAGGCGCAGAAGCTGTTCGAAGACGTTCCCGATCAGTTCTGCGATGTGTCGCTCATTGGGCAGAGATTTGAAATGTGGAAGTTGGCGTACCGGTCTACATACGACGAAGCGTATACCCCCCTTTGCCTAAGCAAACTGTTTGCACCGTTTGTTCGCTTGGAGACGTTATTATGGAATCCTCTGGAGGTCAGCTAAATGCCCCTAGTGTGTGTGTATGTTGATAGCAATTTGGTTTTACTAAGCTCTGCTTCCCAGGCTGGGAGCTGAAGTTTCTAGCGTCAGTATGATGTGCTGTCCTTGCCAATATTAAATGTGTGTACTACAGTCAGACCTCGCTTATCCGGTCTTTTTTTATCCGGATCCCTCGCCATCCGGAAGAAAAATTGTTGGTTTAATACCGATTTGCAGCATATGTCATGCATACATATAGTATGTGTGCTCGATTATCCGGTTCCCTTGTCCATCCGGATTTTTTGGTGGAAAACGGATGTGTGCAGCTAAGCGAGGTCTGACTGTAGTATCATTATTGGCTGCCACCAGCACACTTTGAAATAAGTTTGAAGACTAGTGCCGGTACTGCACTTCACACAGAGAGTCCGATCGCATGGCAAGGCCCTGAAGGTGCTGAAATAGCTGTCAGTGGTGTCGTGTCAGTGTTGCCAGTGTTGCCAGTGTTGCCAAGGTTACCAGTGTGGCTCTGCACTGACTGCTGCTGCTGTGTATGCTGTGAAGAGAGGTCTAGACTGCATGTGCAAAACGTCCAAGAAGATGCAGGGCTCACTAAGCTATGCACTGTGGCCTGCTGCCATCGCACGTGTACGTGTATTGCGATGTGTGCTATAATGCAGCATGTTCAGCCGTACACCTCTCGCCTTGGCTCTGATCTAATTCCTAAGAGTGATGCTGTGCTTGCCACGAGCCACGGCGCCAAGTGATAGGGTGTTGTGCACGTGTGTGAGAGGTTCCTACCCGTGATGTCGTATCTTACCTGCTGTCTTGCAACCTTTGCTTCGATCAGGCGGGCCAGGCAAGCGTAGAAGACATGGCTTGGTTCAAGAAACTGATGCTGTATTCTGCCGGTGGTGATGGCCAATCGCAGCCGGATATTGAGGACGACGATACGTTCCTCATTCCCAACCTGGTGGAGAAGGTAATTATAACCAAGCTTAGAGGTAAGTAGGTCACTACAGCCCCGCTGCCACCTAGACTGGGATAAGATGTCATCATGCACAGGCAATGTGCTGCTGGGTTTGCTTAGAAGCAGTGACCAGTGACTGCCAGCTGGTGGTGATGATGATGATGATGATGGCAATTTGCAGTGACTCACATCAGGACTAAATCTGAGACCGGTGTCTGCTGCCAATCACAAGCTACTCTCTCTCTCTCTCTCTCTCTCTCTCTCTCTCTCTCTCTCTCTCTCTCTCTCTCTCTCTCTCTCTCTCTCTCTTCTCTGCTCTGCTCTGTATTCATTTTGGTTGCATGTAGTGCTGAACATGGCTTTTGTTTCTTCTCCCTTTTCCGTGCTGGTTGTAGAGTTTGTTCGCCATGGCTGGGACCCGCTCTCATCCAGTCAGACAGCTAACCTAGTAGCCATAGTCAAGAAGCTTTTACTGAGTTATCCGTCAGTGCATGCTGCCAGCAGACACACAGAGGTAAAGTATCCTGCACCTTCGTGTGAAGAGTTTTCCAACTTGGTTTTTATCACTGGAGTGTTCTCCCCATCCTTGCCGCATTCGCCGATTTCTTACTCTCATTGCCCATACATATTGTAGCAAATGCCAGTACAGGTACACGTAGCCTACGTACTGCTGATCCCCACTCCCTGTCGCTTCCCAGCTGGTTGCAGCAGAGTGTGCAGATTAGATCAAGAGCTGTTTGTTGTACAGACAAAACACCCTACTCGTATGGTATTCCCACTGCACTAGTGTTTGTTTTCGGCCGAGCTGTCGCAAAGCTTCCTGTGTCACTCTCGTTTTGATTTCTCCACTTGTGCTCACTGTCAGGAGCTGGTGCAGAGCATCTGTGACAGGCTGAAGATGTCTGTTGATGTCGATCCCTACATACCACTCTATTCCAAGAAGTAAGTTTGAACTAGGAGCGTTGGCAATTTGTCTGGCCAACTCTGGTGTAAACATTTGATCTTGTTGTTGCCTGTAGAATGGTAGCATATTCGTAGACTGTATTGACTGATGAGTGGTGAATCTGACTCCAATAGTTCCTGCCATATCTTTTCTTGCTACTGCCGTGGACGTTGAAATCCGATGGGATGACCGAGACTGGTGCCCTTACTGCTTTTAGCGTGTACATGCACTGTAGTTCACGCACACACTGTAAAGATGGACCAGCAGTGCTCGCGGCTGCAAGGCCAGCGCCCCGTGGCCGTTTGACTTCCCAACGAATTTCAATATCCACTACAGTACTATCAGTGACTATTGTTTGGCGGTGCAGGTGTTATGTAGCAATACAGATCGTAAATATGGGGCAGTAGGGTCGATACATAGTGCTACTGGGCGGAAGTGGACGGAGTATCTCCTCTGATTGCACTTGCCGTGTGAGGTTTTTGTGTGCCAAAAAACGAGAGTATCATTGCTGTCTCACTCGAGAAAGCTCTTGGTACATATGCCACTAGAGGCAACTCCTACTGTCTAACTTTTGTTCTCACGTTCTTCCTTGCTTTTGTATGTTCTTGTCTGTTGTTGCCTGCTTGTAGTGTAATGGAGAGTCAGCAATCAGCACCGGTGATGTTCTTCCATCGACAGTACTGGTCATGCTTCAAGGTGAGCTTGTACTGCCCTGGCTTGGCGCGGCTGACCCACCTGCCCTGCTTTATTTACCAGGCTCTTGGGTTGCCTGGGATGTTCAATCCATTCCTCCAACACACGCACACACACACACACACACACACACACACACACACACACACACACACACACACACACACACACACACACACACACACACACACACACACACACATACACACACACATACACACACACACACACACACACACACACACACACACACACACACACACACACACACACACGTATGTGGAGTCGTCCAACTTCTCACCATAGTCTGGTTCTCGTAGTGCTTTGTAGTAGCTATCTTTTTAATTAATATGCATTCTGGTTATTGATCTGTTGTTGTTGTTGTTGTTGTTGTTGTTGTTGTTGTTGTTGTTGTTGTTGTTGTTGTTGTTGTTGTTGTTGTTGTTGTTGTTGTTGTCGTCGTCGTCGTTGTTGTTGTAGCTGTTGCTGAATGTTCTACAATGGCACGGCATACTGTCCAGTGGTAAACTGCAGCAGCTTTGCTTGGACGGTCTGATCAATCGCTACCTGCTACGTGCCATCCAGCACTTCTCACAGCCGTTTGCCTGTGTCGACAGATGTGCCAAGGTGTGTTGTGCTGCTCTCTTAGCACCGTGTAGTTCAAGAAGTAGGTGCTGGCAGGCAGGCAGGTGTTTGATGCACCTCTATCCTATGCCACTGGCTATGTATGTTGTTATTATGGTCAATATTTGCATTGGATATGGGCCATGCTTCTGGATCACTATGCTCGGGGTAGAGGCGCTAAGCCAGCGCAGACTGTGCAATGGGCTGCAAGTGCTGTCAGGTGGTCCAGAACACTACCACCATGTTGCTTGCCCTGCTCAACTAAGGTGCAGTTCTCGCTCTGCCATTTGTGATAACGTACTGTAAGTCAACAAATATTTGGCGCGTATCTGTTTTCGGCTGTTTCCGGCCTGGGCATGGTTGGCCGAAATTTGTTTGCAAGGTTCAATGTGGCAGAGTATACAGGCGGCAGCAATACAGGTCGAAAATTCGATGCAGCCGAAATGTGTGTTTAGCCCTGGGAGGCCGAAATGTGTATTTAGCCCTGGGAGGCCGAAATGTGTATTTAGCCCTGGGAGGCCGAAATGTGTATTTAGCCCTGGGAGGCCGAAATGTGTATTTAGCCCTGGGAGGCCGAAATGTGTATTTAGCCCTGGGAGGCCGAAATGTGTATTTAGCCCTGGGAGGCCGAAATGTGTATTTAGCCCTGGGAGGCCGAAATGTGTATTTAGCCCTGGGAGGCCGAAATGTGTATTTAGCCCTGGGAGGCCGAAATGTGTATTTAGCCCTGGGAGGCCGAAATGTGTATTTAGCCCTGGGAGGCCGAAATGTGTGTTTAGCCCTGGGAGGCCGAAATGTGTATTTAGCCCTGGGAGGCCGAAATGTGTATTTAGCCCTGGGAGGCCGAAATGTGTATTTAGCCCTGGGAGGCCGAAATGTGTATTTAGCCCTGGGAGGCCGAAATGTGTATTTAGCCCTGGGAGGCCGAAATGTGTATTTAGCCCTGGGAGGCCGAAATGTGTATTTAGCCCTGGGAGGCCGAAATGTGTATTTAGCCCTGGGAGGCCGAAATGTGTATTTAGCCCTGGGAGGCCGAAATGTGTATTTAGCCCTGGGAGGCCGAAATGTGTATTTAGCCCTGGGAGGCCGAAATGTGTATTTAGCCCTGGGAGGCCGAAATGTGTATTTAGCCCTGGGAGGCCGAAATGTGTATTTAGCCCTGGGAGGCCGAAATGTGTATTTAGCCCTGGGAGGCCGAAATGTGTATTTAGCCCTGGGAGGCCGAAATGTGTATTTAGCCCTGGGAGGCCGAAATGTGTATTTAGCCCTGGGAGGCCGAAATGTGTATTTAGCCCTGGGAGGCCGAAATGTGTATTTAGCCCTGGGAGGCCGAAATGTGTATTTAGCCCCGGGAGGCCGAAATGTGTATTTAGCCCCGGGAGGCCGAAATGTGTATTTAGCCCTGGGAGGCCGAAATGTGTATTTAGCCCTGGGAGGCCGAAATGTGTATTTAGCCCTGGGAGGCCGAAATGTGTGTTTAGCCCTGGGAGGCCGAAATGTGTATTTAGCCCTGGGAGGCCGAAATGTGTATTTAGCCCTGGGAGGCCGAAATGTGTGTTTAGCCCTGGGAGGCCGAAATGTGTATTTAGCCCTGGGAGGCCGAAATGTGTGTTTAGCCCTGGGAGGCCGAAATGTGTATTTAGCCCTGGGAGGCCGAAATGTGTATTTAGCCCTGGGAGGCCGAAATGTGTGTTTAGCCCTGGGAGGCCGAAATGTGTATTTAGCCCTGGGAGGCCGAAATGTGTATTTAGCCCTGGGAGGCCGAAATGTGTGTTTAGCCCTGGGAGGCCGAAATGTGTATTTAGCCCTGGGAGGCCGAAATGTGTGTTTAGCCCTGGGAGGCCGAAATGTGTATTTAGCCCTGGGAGGCCGAAATGTGTATTTAGCCCTGGGAGGCCGAAATGTGTGTTTAGCCCTGGGAGGCCGAAATGTGTATTTAGCCCTGGGAGGCCGAAATGTGTATTTAGCCCTGGGAGGCCGAAATGTGTATTTAGCCCTGGGAGGCCGAAATGTGTATTTAGCCCTGGGAGGCCGAAATGTGTATTTAGCCCTGGGAGGCCGAAATGTGTGTTTAGCCCTGGGAGGCCGACATGTGTATTTAGCCCTGGGAGCACGGCTGTTCGCGCACGGACATCTAACAATATGGAGTCGTTCGGTGCGATTTACGTAACGCGGTACAAACCTCCTGAATACGATTGGAGTTTGCGTTTTGGGATGAAACTCATGTCACTCTCCGTGTGGTTCCACGATTTCGCAAGTCAAACCAGGATTTATTATTTGAAAGCGCTCGAGCGAGATACTCAATATCCAGACAATTTGAGAGAGAAGGAAGGTAAAAGGAACTCCTGCCGTGGTCAACCAGCATCCTGACCTTTTCGAACCTCTCCAAGCTGTCCCTGGTAGTCTGGATATTGACGCACGCACTGATTTTCAGCTTCTCCTCGCCGGGATCACGGGTGAAACTTTCAAATTTGCCGATATGCACTCGAACAAACGCACAATTGGATCTACATCACAATTTCGGGGCTATCTGTGTGCTTGCTGCCTTTTTCAGCAATACCCCACATGTCTACTGGGCAGTTTCCACCAGGCCTCGGCCTCCTGGACTCAACAGCGACTCCAGCGCCATGCCATCTGTCCCCTAAATCGCATGAAAAGGTAGCTCAGCATCGAACGCACGGGACCTGAAGTTTGTGCACGGGACGTGATAAAACTTGGTGAAGATAGCCAGAAGATAGTCCTCTACCTGGGAAAACTGAAAGCTAGACTGGGAAAACTCCTGAAAGGGCTTCTTGACGCAGGCATGTCAACGATGAATCAAGGAACGAGCGAGAAAGAAGGCTTGACTTGTGCAACGCGGAACAAACTGTTCCTGAGACGAAGTTGGCCATGTGAGGTACCAGCGGAAAGCTAGTTTCAAGAGGAACACGGAATACCTGTTTTCCGGGTAAACCTGGCCTGGTAGCTTTCTAAATCGAGCGAAAACCACAGCGAAATCGGCTGCTGAGAATTTGAAAATTCAAATTTCCTTGCCGATCCAGCCCAATCGAGACTTTTGGCTGCCATCTTGTTAAATGTCCAAATTTCGCGAAAAAAAACAGCCGTGGGAGGCCGAAATGTGTATTTAGCCCTGGGAGGCCGAAATGTGTGTTTAGCCCTGGGAGGCCGAAATGTGTGTTTAGCCCTGGGAGGCCGAAATGTGTGTTTAGCCCTGGGAGGCCGAAATGTGTGTTTAGCCCTGGGAGGCCGAAATGTGTGTTTAGCCCTGGGAGGCCGAAATGTGTGTTTAGCCCTGGGAGGCCGAAATGTGTATTTAGCCCTGGGAGGCCGAAATGTGTGTTTAGCCCTGGGAGGCCGAAATGTGTGTTTAGCCCTCGGAGGCCGAAATGTGTGTTTAGCCCTGGGAGGCCGAAATGTGTGTTTAGCCCTGGGAGGCCGAAATGTGTGTTTAGCCCTGGGAGGCCGAAATGTGTGTTTAGCCCTGGGAGGCCGAAATGTGTGTTTAGCCCTGGGAGGCCGAAATGTGTGCTTAGCCCTCGGAGGCCGAAATGTGTGTTTAGCCCTGGGAGGCCGAAATGTGTATTTAGCCCTGGGAGGCCGAAATGTGTGTTTAGCCCTGGGAGGCCGAAATGTGTGTTTAGCCCTGGGAGGCCGAAATGTGTGTTTAGCCCTGGGAGGCCGAAATGTGTGTTTAGCCCTGGGAGGCCGAAATGTGTGTTTAGCCCTGGGAGGCCGAAATGTGTGTTTAGCCCTGGGAGGCCGAAATGTGTATTTAGCCCTGGGAGGCCGAAATGTGTGTTTAGCCCTGGGAGGCCGAAATGTGTGTTTAGCCCTGGGAGGCCGAAATGTGTGTTTAGCCCTGGGAGGCCGAAATGTGTGTTTAGCCCTGGGAGGCCGAAATGTGTGTTTAGCCCTGGGAGGCCGATATGTGTGTTTAGCCCTGGGAGGCCGAAATGTGTGTTTAGCCCTGGGAGGCCGAAATGTGTGTTTAGCCCTGGGAGGCCGAAATGTGTGTTTAGCCCTGGGAGGCCGATATGTGTGTTTAGCCCTGGGAGGCCGAAATGTGTGTTTAGCCCTGGGAGGCCGATATGTGTGTTTAGCCCTGGGAGGCCGAAATGTGTGTTTAGCCCTGGGAGGCCGAAATGTGTGTTTAGCCCTGGGAGGCCGATATGTGTGTTTAGCCCTGGGAGGCCGATATGTGTGTTTAGCCCTGGGAGGCCGAAATGTGTGTTTAGCCCTGGGAGGCCGAAATTTGTAGACTTACAGTAGGTGTTTGCTTGCTGAGAACTGACTGCCATGTTTGTGGTGCTGTGTGTGCTGACCCACAGCTCGTCAATGCCTTGCCAGAAAGCTGGTTTGCTGGCAAGAAGAAGCACGCTTCTCTGGACGGTCTAGTCATGCTGATGTCGTCCAAACTGCCAACCATGCTCTACCACGCGTCTCTTGGTGCGCCGGACATGGAGCGCAAGAAAGCAAGGTTGGTCCGCAGGGAAATTTGTTATGTTGTTGACCGTTGAGTCTGCATGAGCACGGTTGGTACAGTGCTATTCCGCGCATACTTGTAGCATGCTACAAGCAAGTGTACATGCCGAAGACAGAAATGCTGTGTGTGAATGCATTTCTCAGCTTGCCGGCGTTCTGACGGACTCTCAGCACCCAGTCGCATCAAGAGTTCATAACCCCCAAGAGTGTGCAACTGGCATTCATCCAGCGCTTGGCAAAATTCCTACAGTATGTCATGCGCAACTTGTCATCCGAGGTAAATGTAGGTTCCTTGCGATTTCTGGAAACTATGCCCGGAACCGTTCCTAACTCAAGGCTGTAGCCTCGACATCTCGAAGCTTTGTTTGAAGACATTTCGGACGTACAAGTCGTACTTTCTCAAAAACAAACTCTTTCTCCAAGAATCCATGGACATCGACAGGAAGAAGTGAGGACGCTGTCAATGATACAAGTGTAGCTTGGTGAGGCGAAAAAATATTGCATTGCCGTCGAGGATAATCATTCTGATAGCTGTGCAACTCAGCCGAGAAATGCTCCTCCGACGCATTTCTCAATTTCCTCAATCATTTGAAATAATCTTCGAAGAAGCACCGGAAATATGCCGAGGGCCCAGGGAAGAAATATTTTTTTGAAGAGACTGACTGCACTGGCGAAAGAAGAAGGCGATGATGAGTCACCATTGGCATCGAAAAAATAGGTTTGTCTTCGGGATCGCGCGCGCACGCGTTGTATAGTTTTACTGTACTTCTTGATCCGGTGTCACATAGTACTATCCCCCCCCCCCAGCGCTTGGCCCCTGGGGAAAACACACACACACACACACACACACACGCATGCACACACACACATCCAAGCATGCACACACACACACACACACATGCAGCAGCTTGCTACAAGAGAATCATGCTAGTAATGCACTTCAGCAGGCCATTAGCACATGCACCGGTTTTGGGCTGTGACAGACAGTGACGAAGAGAGGGAAAGAAAGAAAGAGAGATAGAGGGGGGGGGGGGAAGAGAGAGAGAGAGAGAGAGAGAGAGAGAGAGAGAGAGAGAGAGAGAGAGAGAGAGAGAGAGAGAGAGAGAGAGAGAGAGAGAGAGAGAGAGAGAGAGAGAGAGAGTCTCAGAGAGACATAGAAAGACAGAGACAGAGACACAGGGAGACAGAGAGACACAGGGAGACACAGGGAGACAGACACACACACCACACACACACACACACACACACACACACACACACACACACACATACGCACAAACCTGTCCTGTCCTGTAGAGTCACTGCCGCAAAAGGGTCACGTGATCCCATCACTGGGAAACTTGAGAAGAGAGAGAGAGAGGACACGACGCTCGATGACGCTCCAGGTGCACGGGTAGTCGCATCCGCTTGCCGCATATGCACACGTGCTGGAAGGCTGAGCGCTCCTCTGCCGTTGGTCTATGAGCCACCCTTGAACAGCGATGCCTTCCCCGTCCCCGGACACCGCGAAAGCAGCGACCACACCTGTCACAATGCGTGGCACAACATCCCTCCGCCGGTGCCGACGCTCCGGTAGTTCCAGGTGGCACTGCGGCATCCACCGTTGAGGCACACACATGCCGGACCAAGCCACCGCGGCTTCTCAGCCACCGCCCACACCGCCCGCACTGACTGGCGCCCCGCTGCTCAGACACAGGCCGCGCACGCTCCTCCAGACACTTATGCCGAGCCATGTCTCCTTTCCGTGCAAAATCCCGTCCGCATACCGTACATACCACTCGGGGCGGAGGCTCAGGCACATTGTCAGGCTCTTGGTAGGTGCTGCGCCACTCCGCGCGAGACTCACATGCAACATCATACCATGATGCCTCCACGCCACGGGCACGTAGATCTCGGACAGCACAGTCCTTCCATCTGCGGCGTGGGCCATGTGCTGGGCGACGCTGCAAGAAGGAGCCAAACAGTACCTGTTTTGGGATGCGGTTGTCCGGCATCCGCGCCACATGCCCCAACCACTCCAACCGCCGATGTGCAATTTTGTCTTTAATCGTCTCGGAGTCTCCCCAGCGCACCAGCAGCTCTTCGTTGGTGATGTGTTCGTCCCACATCCGGCTTCGAGAGACCCCGAGGATGGATCGGATGCACCTCATGCTGAAGGTTGAGAGCTTCTGCAGGTCATGCTGAAGGGGCGTCCAGCACTCAGAGCCATACAACAGCAGGGACAGAACGCAAGCATTGAATACGCACCGCTTGGTGTGCATCAGCAGATGTGGATTGGAGAATACAGACCTCCGAAGAGCACCGCAGGCCCTGGAGGCTTGGTAGTCCTTGGGCCCATTTGAAATTTCTCACTTTTACTTGACACATGTTTGCTAACATAGATTTTATGATCATTCCTGGATGGTGTTTGCCTCCTGAACACGATGGCATAGGTTTCGATTGCCGAATTGTGTCCGAACATGGTGAAAAACATCAAAATAGAAAATGCCGTTATTACCATGGCAACCCAACTAGAATTGCTCCTATATCCATTTTTACTGACACGTATATGGCCAAGGAGCACCTCATTTTGCTCAGAATAAGCAGTAGATACAGTACGGCGACAAGTACTGTTCTTTTACAGTGTCAAAACAAAATTTCCAAAGTGCAGTGAAACTTGGCTATTGGACATGTTCATGTACATTTACATATCGCGTCGAATGTTAGCATTGAGGTGCGTGTACATGTATGTGCAGCTAGCAGGTACATGAGACTATTAACAGGCTTGCATTACTATAATTATCAGACTGCAAACACGAGAGAAGCGTCAGACGGTTCGGCGTTACACTTCAATTGAGAGAATAGGTATTGTAACCCAAATACTAACAGGAGAAGGAAAAGGTGGTAGGAAACTGTCAGAGTCTAAGGAACGAAGTGCTATAGGACAGTTTCAACCTGAACTAATTTACTCGAAGTACGTGTCGATAATACGATAGATCTCGCAGCAATGTAAGAAGGACAACACTACTTGTATGCGATGGCAGTGCTGTAACGAAAAATGATGAAAATGAAAATACCAAAATCCTTTGCATAAAACAGTCCAAACATTGGCTAGCTTGTCACTATACTTAAATGCTTTGAAAAGACTTCAAGGCTGCAGTTGGACAACGCTCACATGTGTATAGCTGCAGTTTAAAAAGCTGATCGATCCCAACATTGTGATGCGAATACTTTCGCTTCCATGTGTTTCACTTTAACTGAAGTTGTTCTTCCGTCTGAGCTTCGGAAACTCTACGCCGTACAGCTGAGCCCATCTCTACTCCGCCACCTACACCATCACTGTTGGCTCTGCAGTCAGGGACAATTCTTTAGCCACTAGTTCATGAGGTATTACATGAACATGTTTTCCCTCTTCACCACCGCTCTTGAATCGCATCAACTACGTGCCGTGATCAGTTCAGGAGAGACAAGCCATGACATTGGACATCGGACTCTTTCTTGCAGTTAGTGTTTTATAAGTATAACTGTAGTTTCACACTGCCTAGGCCCAGCCTTCAAATTCTGCGACAAGGAAATGATTCTTCTACTGCTGGTGTTGCATATTGGGATAAGTTACCTCCAGGTACTCGGATTTCGTTTTTGTAACACTCCACACCACGTAGCTACTCCCTCTCACTGCAGCATGGCACTCCTAAGGCAGTTGTCCTAGAGCTGTTGAGCTGGTAAATAGGCTTTGTGATAATGGTAGCTGATCACCACGGTCGGTGTGTTCGAATTATGGTACTAACACCAGCCGCTCTTGTAGATTCGAATCAAATGCTCGTCCACTGTAACACCTCCTGTGCAGCAGTACTCATAAAGTAAATGCCTTCATTCCAGCCAGATGAAGTTAGCCAGGTCTGAAACTTTCCACGGTTGTAGATTAGTCCTATGAATAGTTACAACTGGCTTGGCAAGCTATGATGACTTTCCCCTGCTTTACACACATAATTGTTGTGCTGCTCCTTGTTGGAATCATGCCTACTTTTCCGGGGAGCCAAGATGACATTGTACTGAAGGTTCTGCTGAATTCAGCATCGATCCATTCGTGGACGTTCAGACAGCAAAAGCACCAGCGAGTCAATGCAAAACTTTGAAGAAAGTGTCCAAACGAGGTAACAGATTTCTGGTATGTCACAACTACACTACTTGATGCTCAATCTTTCCAACTCTCGCACAAAATCAGTGTACGCGTCGGTTCGCATCCTGTGTATGTACGGTGGTACTATAGCTCCTGGCACATAAAAGGGTAAAAACTCCCAGGTCCAGTCAATATAGTACCGAGAAAGTCTTGAAAATGCTTGAATATAGCCGATGAGAACTTAGTTTTTTCGGCAATTTTGTATTCCTATCGAGGGTGATTTCGGGACCTTTGGACGCGATTGGACTCGCCATACTGGGCCAAGATGCTCTTGAAGACATTATCTATCAAATAACACCGAAAAATCCTTGTTAGCCAACATGTGTCAAGGCATGTATTTTAGAGGTCGATTTTTTGAATTGTCCCCAGTACTATGGGCAATCCTTGCGGCGATGTCCCGGGACGAACGGCAACCGCTGTCCACTACAGAACCGAGGTATTTGAAATGCGGTACGCATTCCACCTCCGCTTGACCAAGTTGGAGGGGAGCGCGGTCAGTAAGCGTGATGCCGGGGCCAACAACTACAAACTGAGTCTTCGTTGCACTGATGGTCAAGCCGAATCCCGACGCCACCTCGTGAAGACAGCACAATGCTGCCCCCGCTCCAGACCGAGTCGTAGCGAATAAACAAGAGTCGTCAGCAAACTGGGAATCTGTTAGGCAATGGTGTTGGTCGTCACGGCGGGGTTTACGGTATAAATCGCTGCTGTATGCTGAGCGGAGCTCGAAGCCAACCCCGTCAACTCTCCTGACGCGGTGTTGCCACTGGGTCATCACGGCCCACATAAAGATATTAAAAAGGACCGGCGCCATAGAGCACCCCTGGCGAAGACCATTGCCAATGCTGAACGGGTCTGATAATATGTTGTTGAACTGCACCGATGCTGACATGGGGTCGTGGAACGACCGGATGATGTTGATAAGCTTTTCTGGTACTCCCGCACGGCCGAGGACCTGCCACAGACACCCCCTGGGCACTGAATCATAGGCCTTCTTCAGGTCGATAAACACAAAAATCCCTTGGCCTGATGCACACACACACACACACACACGCACGCACACAAAGAGACTGAGACACACAATGGGACCAGAGCATGAAAAGGCACCAGCTGAGGAAACCAAGAAATTGTAAAGTTCAAGCAGTGCTTGGTTATGTTCTTTCAGGGTAAACAGGGCCAAAAAGGGAAGTGCAGAGCTGGGAGAAGTGCAAGTTGGGAAAACCAACAGCAGAAACAGGTTCACATAATGACAGCAAGTGATGTTCAGCATCTGGCTACTGAAGTACTGGTAAGAATCACTTGATTTGTGACTCTTCCAAAGCACACCAGACGAGTTGACTAAGTAGATGGCAAAATTGCTACAACCTTAGCAGTAGGAGTACTTTCTTGGGTGGATGCCTGTGCCACTAGAGTCTGGCACCAACCTGGCATCTTACAACTACTGGAAGGTTAAGCCAGTCAGCCACGGCCGAAATCTCATCAGTGGTACCCCACACTCCCGGGTGGTGCATCATTGTTGCTACAAGATACTCTGCTGCTGGATTGGGATTATCCCCACAGTCAATCAGATAATGGAAGCTAGCTGAAGCGCTTTCGTGCTTGGGAGCATGTTTCGAAAACCTCTTCTTGGCTTCTTTGTCAGGATGATAGATATCTGACTGGGCACTAGCGGCAGAGTGAAGCTCAACAGGTGAACGCATCAGCTGAACGTATACAATAAAGTAGGGAGACAGCTTTGTGGACAATTGCTTGTTGCTGCTGTAATACTATTCCACTCATTCTGGGATTCTATCACCATCCGTCGAAGTGGGCAAAGAAGGGTTCGGGTGAATCGCTCCGTGAGACCATTTGACAATGGATAATAAGCACTGCAGATTTTTGTTCTACCTCCATGTCCTTGCACAGCAGCTCGTTCCCGTTGCTCACAAACTCTCGGCCTTGCTCACTGATAATGGTGTCGCGAAAGCCAAACCTCGAAACAACGCACTGAATGAGTGCATTGCAGACACGGTTGATGTACACTTATCTGGGATTGTCTTGGTTTCGGCCCACCAGCACAGATACTTGGTGAACACCACGATGTACTGTTGGCCATCTTGTGTCAACTTCAGTATGACAGCAAGATCCATACCCCACGCTTCGCATGTACATGTAGAAACCTTCTCCACAGCACAGCATCATACATTTCTTTCCACCAGTAACGCTCCAAGATCTTATTGAAAGTGGCAGCCTCCTGCTAGATTATAACCACGAGCAACACGCACAATACTCTCGTTCCTTTGGGACCTCTCGCATTGAGTTTGGACGCCGCTTCGTTGGTGAGTGAAACAGCACCCCATCCTGAACTAAGACAGTGTCAAACTTCTTCCTGAAGTTCTGCTTCAAGTTTTTTGCTTCTACGTTCTACCTTGTCGTCCATCTCGGCAATGGATCTGGGGTAGGCGCCAGTATTTTTGTAATGGCCTATTGCGTCATACGTGTCTAGATCCATGGCAGAACTACAATGCAGAGAAGGGAGGAACGAGCTGAAAGTAAACGTCACTCGAACTAAAATGATCTGAAAACGAAAGCCACAAAGGACAATCTGGAAAGGAACTTTACTTGAAAAATTCAAATGCACGTGTGAATGAGTAGTAAAATACCGGTAGTTTACTACTCCCTCCCACAGATAGCTCAGCCCTGAGCCTTCTCTTTGACTGGCGAGGGGGACATCCACTACATAGCCATTTTCCCGGGGGGGGGGGGGGGGGGGGGAGTGCGACGTAGTACTCTTCCCGGGGAGTCAACCTGCTAGATAGTACTCTTCCCCAGTGGGTCAATGTACTATAATAGCAGCAGGGGCGTGCTCGGCCCCCCAACTAGGGGGTGCACGGGAGCCGAGGGGAGCCCCCCCCCGGCAATTTTCTGCAATTTGTTTGCAACCTTTCTTGAATTTAAGAGCATATTTGCATACATTACAATTGCAATTACCCAGATTGAAAATTTTTGGGGGTGCACGTGCCCCCCGTGCCCATCGCCGAGCACGCGCCTGAGCAGATTGCCCGGGGGACAAATTCTGGGGGGGGGGGGGGGGGACTGTACTATGTTACACCGGGACTCAGATCAGAATCGCAGTTTAGGCAGTTTACCCTGAGGAAGCATCCCGGTTTGACTGCAAATTTTAGAAGAATTCATCGACGTGACTCATCGCGCTGCACCAAAAAATGATGCAATGAAGGAATTCCTTCGAGCGGGCTTCTATACAGGGATTGATCGGGAGTTGCACACTCTTGGGGATTCTGAACTCTTGGGGATTGTGAACTCTTGGTCGCATGCGTACCGACGGCACGGTTGACCGTCGTGTAAATACCCCCTAAGAGAAGACACTGTAAGATCAGCTGTATATGTTCACTATGACTGTGAGCAATGCCACCATGATCTTGTGGCTGAGCCTGTCCACCCTATCATCTATGTCTACCTCTGCAAAGCTGTGGCAAGCGAAATCCGGCGCGTGCCATAACTTGTGTGGCACAGTCCCTTGAAAGGGACTGCGCCACACAGCTTTCGACTGCTGCCGCCATGCTTACGTGTACATACATACTGAAAGTTTCACTACCCCCACGCATGTCCAGATATACTGTACACAGTTTGTGCAGTACACAGTACTTCGCAGCTCTCATACACTATTGTGTGCTGCACTGCATGCATGCATGCACAACCTAGCAGGGAGAAACACGTATAATGTGTGCTGCACTGCATGCATGGCATGCACAATCTAGCAAACGTGCACATACATGCGATACAATCAAAGACACTGCCCATGTTTTGTTTCCTCAAAGGAGAAGTTTTTAGTTTGCCATTTTATCACCTCTAATTTCCCATTTCGAATAGCAATTTCGTACTCCCAAGCCCTGCAAAAGTGCAACACTTGGCGAGCAGCTAGCCCTTAGGAGCATGTCCCCACGAAACAAGTATGCGTGTTGCTTGTACCAAGGCAGTGTGACCTCTCGAGCTTTTCAGCGGACATAATCCACGGCCTTGCCCGTAAAAGTACATCTTGCATCGCCCGTGTAGAAATAGGGCACAGTTCCCTATGGCACGTATCGGATTCCGGTTTCCACAACTGATGTGTGTTCGTGTGTGTTTGCGCATGCATGTGTGTGTGTGTGTGTGTGTGTGTGTGTGTGTGTGTGTGTGTGTGTGTGTGTGTGTGTGTGTGTGTGTGTGTGTGTGTGTGTGTGTCTGTCCATGCATCCGTGTGTGCTGCATTAGGACTGCATGCCAGACGCTGGAGGGACTGCTTCGTCGGATCGGCCGTACCAAGGACACAGCGGGTATGCTTGACCAATTCTCCTAGGTTCATGCCCTCGCACAGCGTGTACATGTAATTATGTGTCTGTCCAGTTGCACCATTAGTACAGTGTAACTTGTAACAGTTGACTTGTCTGTTGAGTGCAGTGCCGCGCAAACATTTGAAAGTAAACGTCTTGTACATAGTATCTGTTGAGAATAGTGTTTCACGCATTGTACATAATTATACAAGTGTATCTCTGGATCAGCCGTATTTGTATTCTGTACGTACATGTACCATACATACATACATACACCCATACATACATACATACATACATACATACATACATACATACATACATACATACATACATACATACAGTCATACTCTCCTGCATGTACGTGTTAGCTCTTACTGTGAGCTTGCTATGCTTTGCGTATGCTGGTTCTCTGAATGCTTATTGGTATGCAATCACTTTCTCTCCCATTTGCTAAATTTAAATAATTGTTCATTCCTCTGGCTGTCTGGAGGGTGTTTTATTAAAACCTTTTGATCTTCTGTTCGAGGTGAATAGCAATTTCTGGACATGAAAATAAAATAGAGCCCCACTGGCTGTGTGTTTTACATTTTTCATATCTTTTTGTATCTTTTGAATGGCCTAGTGTAATCCTTCATCTTTCCAAATATGTGACATTTGCTCATGCTGTGATCCCAGAGACTTTATAGCAGGACGTTTTCGACAGGCCAATTTTTTGCCCTAAATTTCAGTGTATGGTATTCTGGACATGAAAGTAAAATAGCGTCAATAGGCATCCTATTCTGCACCATTTTTGTTATTTTTCTATTGGTGGACTGCAGTTGGCCTCTTCACACTTCCAGCCAACAGGTCCAAGACTATACAGCGTCTCAAGTGGAGTGCACATGGGGAAGCCAACCATTCGTCCATTACTTCTTATTTTACTCAAAATTCAAAATCCTCATGCGACATAGTACCACAAAACTCGTTGAAATGCCTCACAAGCAAAGGCTATGAACAAGGCACCGACACGAGGAGAAACTACAACAGCCCAGCTGTCAACTACGGCAAGAAAAAACTTCATCAACCTGAATGACATGACTCTACACGCGACGAAAAATTATTTTACTCGAAATTTCCAGAAATGTACAATGTCCAGAAATAGCAATTCACCTCGTATGGACTCTTGTCATGCAATTGTGACTTGCCATTCAATGAGTGTGTGCTGCGATGCACTTGTCACTTACCACCACACACGCACATTGGCACGAACACAAGCTGTTGTAAACTGTTACCGTCGTCCCACGGCTGTATGCCATCCACATGAACAATTTGGGTGTTTTTCTTCTTCTTCTTCACCAAAAAGGCCATCCCCTGATCATAGGTGCCAAAAAAAAACAAAAAAAAACCGAAAAGGACAAGAGGCAATGATCAGGACTATCAGCATGAAGCAAATCGATTGTTTCATAATAATGTACTGAGAAAGACCAGCGCTGCACGGGTTATACTAGACTATTTCGCCGCACCGAAAAGATATCGATAGAAAAAACACACGTACATTCTCTGCCACCACCGATCATCGTTTTATGCTTGCTATTCATGTACTAAACTACTGCTTTGTTTGCTTGCCTGCAATGGACATGGCGTAGAGTAATAATAATTATAGTGATATATGTACAGGGCAGGGCGTCCTACATCATAATCCAAAAACACCAGCCGAGCGAGAGGAATATATTTACAAGTAGCGCAACAAGCTACGGCATGTTAATAATCAAACACATGGCAGATTGGTAGCTAGCAGGCAGGACTGCTCTCGTAAGACAACCGAAAGGAGGCGACGACAACTTACTGTACGGAAGGCACCGTTTCATTGAAACCGTAAAGAAATACACAGGTAATAAAAAACACTAATAGGGGTACGAGCAAGACTAGAAAAGAGATCACAAGCGATCGCCTACGATTACTACCATACTCAAGTTTCGGGTTATGTTTTACCTCTAGCAGCCAGGTTCTCAATGCTGTGTCTACCTGCTAATCCATAGTAGAATAATGCTTCTTCACCACTGACCACTCTCTAGAGTCACCTGGACGCACCAAACTAACACGCACACACCCACACACACGCGCGCGCACACACAAACACACACACACACCGCCACCCGCAACACACCAAAGCAGCGCATGGCCTGATAGCAGCAGCAGCATTCAGGATGTAGAGCTGGGCGGCTGATGGGCGGCATCCATTTGCGAAACGACATTGTCGATCAACTGCAGGGGATAGTGCAGAGTGACTTCAATCCAACACGGAGTACTTGTCACCTGCTTTCGGTGATACCCTGGGCCCCAGCCCTTGACAAAGCTCACTTTGAAACGGCACTTAGAGGCGAGTTTGCTGACTGCATCGCGTCCCTGATGTACAGCTTCAGTCAGATCAGCATCAAACCGTGGGTTGTCGAAGACCCTCATGTTGTGTGTCTTGGTCAGCTTGCACACGGTAGCTGGGTGGACGTGATTAATGATATTGGCGTTGCGCGACTGCACAAACAGGCTGGCCTCGCTCAGGCATTCGACAAACACTTCACCACCAATATAGTCCATACGCATGCCTCTGCCAATGTGCTTGCGGGCTCTGTCAATGGAGCTATCAGTATCACGATCTGGGTTGGAGAGGAGGCCCAGTGAGAATCGGTCTTGCTGCTGGTCAGGACCTGTGAAGGAGCCATCAACGACAATGGAGGTCTTGTTGCTGTTCTCCAAGACCCATAGACCAACGGGCCTGTTCAGCTCATAGTAATGTATAGAACACCACGGTGAGGGTACGGCGTCGCCATCTACAAAACGAACACACGTACTCAAGTACATAACACATGCATGCGAGCATGCACGTGCACACACACACTCACACACACACACATGCACATGTACAAACGCACGCACACAAACACACACACACACACACCATGACTGCACTGTTGCCGATGAAAGATCTCTTTATGATTTTTTGGAGCGAGCGATGTACTGCAACCTCCTTGGACCAAAACCTTCGACGACTTGGCCCCAATCACGCCGGCCAAGGAGCAGGAGATTTTCATTATTCACTGGCTAAATATTAGATGCAGTCAACAACTTCATCAGGCCCGGTGTCCAAATCTGCTTATCTATCTCGCCCAGATTCAAATTACTTGAAAGACCTGCCAGGCACTAGCATACATAACAATAAACAATTTAATATGCAAGAGGTACTGGCGTCAACGGTTTCAATATTGAATAGAACTGAAGTTGGAAATTGGACTTGGAAACAGCATGTCTCTTTCAACGGTCAGACTTTGATGGCTGGAACAGCATGTCCCTTCCAATGACCTAAAATTAAACTCTATGGCAGTATGGGCTGGAGCTGGACTTACGAATGCGGACGTGTGGACTCGGATCTGGCGGATTGGCCATGCTATCTGTAAAAAACAACAGTAAAGACATCAGCATAAAAGGGCATTGTTCATGAGCATGTTCAGACCAAAAATACTCAGGTTGCTGGAGAGGTATGTAGAAAGTAGTTGGGTGGACACACCCATTCCCAAAGCACCACAAAGGACTGAATCAATTCTTACCGCACAACAGTTCGGCAATATCGTCCTCCTCAGGTACAAATGAAACAATGATGCCATGCAAGCCAAAAAAGAGCAGTTTTATATCATAATCCTACCGCCAAAACAACATGATCTGGCGCCAAGAGAGTCATAAATACAACGAGCTAAGCGGCAAAGGTGTAGGTGAGACATTTAATGCCAGAACCCAAACATGTGAGGTCACATTCAGTCATTGTCGCCTTCCTAACACCTATATTTTTCACCTCTTGCACTCATACTGAAAGAGGCATGCCCGTGAGGGAAGCTTCAAGTGTAAGTGATCTTTTCAGTGATGCATGCAGGCTCTGTGGTTATTTATAATAATGGATTGTCCAATCCAATGGATTATGCAGTACATTTTATACAAGCATGTGGTTTTGCTGGTACCGTGTAAAGAAGTAGAACGGAGAACTGTATGAGAAGCCGTGTAACAGTGGATGGCTCATAGATTACGCATCTGCCTTACCACATAATATGAAGCTTGCGGTTGACTCGTCCCAAGTTCTAAGAGCGCAGGGGCTCTTGTCAAAGGCCCAGATGCGCATTGAAAGCGAGCAGAAGATTTCAGAGCAACTTCGACTGAATCATTAGTTCATTACCCGGAACACATCATTGCTGAAGCACGCACACGAGCCAGCAGGCCCAGGTGTCGGCGTCGAACGAACCCAGTTTGTGCATTTTTGAATCTACCCTACAAGTCGGATCAGGTTCATCATGCCGTCAATAAAGCCATACGAAAATACAAAATTCCCGCAAGAGTAGTATATGAGAATACTGGTAGCCTGAAACATTCATTACGTCATTCCGCTTTAATCCAGTCCCTATAATTATGTCAACGCGTATAGCCGATTGGTTTTTAAGCTTGCCTGCGAATCATGAGGTTCCTAGTTCAAAACCTGCGCTGGTAACAGGGAGTGTGTTTAGCGCTCTTTCAATCGCGGTGATGCAGGCGAGTACCACTTTACATGCAATGAACTGTGCCGACACCCACGGTGAACTGGGTACTCACTTGCTCGGTGTGATTTGATTGATTTTTTTTGATTGATTTTTATTTCACGGATCCTCCAGAGGCAAATAGATGCCTATCGAAGGGAGTCTCCTACGTAAGTATGGAAAATGAGAAAGTATGTTCGTAAGAGAGAAGAGGTAGAAGGGTGAGGGTAACAAGGATGCGGTTTATGGGGTTATAGGGCCTTTACACGCCCGCTTGTTGAGAGACTTATCCCCTCTCCTCTGACTCACGTGTGAGGTCTGCATTCGACACTAAGGATATATGGGTGAAGTGGTGGCCCGCCGATGCGAATGTATTTGCTTGATGTGTTCCTAAACACGTCAGGTGATGCGGCCGCGAATCCGGCTATACTTTTTTTAATATTTTTTAAATGTCAAAGCAAGAAACCCATTGCAGCGCAGACCCAGAGGTCGACCCAAGGGCCCTTGCCTGACTTGCGACACAGGTGCACAGGATGTTTGCATATTGTCTATCAGATCAAGTGCAAGGAGTGTGCTGGGCCATACGTTGGCGAGGCAGAGCACTTGATGGAGACCCGGCTGGAGGAGCATAACGGCGAGGCACGCAGACAGGCACGGACACGCCCTGGGGTGATCACTACCGCACCGAGCATCCCCATGCCACCCTCGTATTCGGACAAAGTGCATTTTCAGCTGTTGCAGTGGTCGCCCGGGAGGCAGATCGGACGCGTCGAAAACTGCGAGAGGCAATCGAGATCAGGAACACACAGCCACCGGTTAACACGAGAACTGGATGGGACCTTCTATCATAACGTGGCGGGATTGAAGGAGGGGTGAATAATGACAATGACAGTAACCTGATGTAACACATTTGTCTTCTCACCTTTGCATGGATGTATATCTTGATGCTACCTGACGTGACACTTGTTTGACCTTCTCGCCTCGGTATGCATGGGCTTCATCTTGGCTGTATAGCAGCACCTTGGTCTTCTCACCTGTGCTGTGGTGTGGGCTGCCATTGACACTTCTTCCCTCCTTTGGAGCGAGAGGACTTACACCGTTTTGTCGGAATGCCCTGTATACATGTATAACGGTGACGGTCACTATAACCTGATCCTTAGTACATGTACATGTAGCTGGCAGAGTATCCGATTGTTCAGTTACCTGATGATGGCCATGTGCCGAAACGTTGTTTAATTATGGAAGCCGTGACATGACACCATCCGATGCGTCAGCTGATTCTGCTTATTGCCATCCTTTAACAAAATAATGGAATTGTTTCAGATTTACAATATTTGGGATATTACAGTAGTCATGCCATACCTGGAGCACCAAAAGCTGTGAGTGCATTATGCGCCGGAGAGGCACCAGGTGACTGGTCATTGCTGGGTAGGGAGAGTGCCTGAGGTCCCGAGCCAGTCACCCGATGAGAAGGCAGACGGTCGGAAAACCGGGGCAATAGGACGGGCGGTAGCACTGCAGGACCAATAGAGAACACAAACGAAAGACAAACGAAAGAAAAACGAAATTCCTTCTTTCTAAGCATTCACATGACACATAGCCTCTGGAAAGTGTTGTATTTTTAACGGTATACCTAGGTGCTTGAAGTCCGGCCATGGTGTTCTAATTCTAACCACCCATAACAGTTTTCATTACTACTGTTTTCATTAGGACATTACTTGATGGTGCCGAGAACAGGAAAAATCTCAGAAGAAAAAATCCACTGTCACCACCAGGACTCGAAGCAAGGCTTGAGTTGAGACCAGCAGTGCTCTAACCACTGAACTAGCGTAACTGCCATCCCAGCAGAGTCGGTCTTTGACTCATGATTTTCTTCAGACTTCAAAACTCACGCTTCCCGTGACACAGGCTGGTGAGTGGTGGGACGCAACCCTACTGAGTCTTTGCCCACACACTTCATGCACAAACTACAATCATGTGTCATGTACAATCATGTGTTATGTACATGTATGTATGGTGTTGGTTAACAGCATGTAACAAAGTGGAGGACACGGTGTTCGGAAACAGTGACCTTTCACCTCGTTACATGCTGTATGTAACAGGCCCTATGTACTCTTGCTGCAGGGAACCCCAATGTATCAAATTTCATTACCGTTTAGGGTGTTGCCAAAAGGGGATATGTTGCCATTGTGTGTGACTCACAATCCAACGATCTCTCTTCCTCTGATCAGCTCCCCACTATGCATCTTGATGCCTCGGCACATCAGATCACAGCCATCCAATTTCGACCAGCCAATGTCCGTCGTCAACTAGCGGCGCTGAATCCGCACAAGGCCACTGGCCCCGATGGCCGATCATGATCAGCTAGAGTCCTCAAGGAATGCCATACCACAGGGAGCTGGCAGAGCCTGCTGCTCGCTTGTTCTCTTGCTGCTTCAAAGCAGGGGTCCAGCCAGCTTCCTGGAAACTAGTCCATGTGTCCCCCATACACACTCGAAAAGTTCTCCAAGTCAATTGTTTCGAATTATCGACCTGTGCCTCTCCTCAGCATCCTGTCGAAAGTTATGGAGAGTATAGTCAACCCCCAACTTGCCAACTTCTTGGAACGCCACTGTCTGCTGAATACTCGTCAGTACGGTTTTCGTCGTGGCACCGGAGCTGAAGACCTCCTGACTGTCCTACAGTATGGGTGGGCCAATGCCATGGCACAAGGTGGAGCTATGCAAGCAGCTGCCGTGGACATAGCGGGGGGCTTTTGACAAAGTGTCTCATTCTGGCGTAAGGCGCACCAGCTGGGGATAGGGGGTTCCCTGCTCGCATGGCTTACCCACGTGACCTGCGATGTCGTACCATCAAAACTGTTGTCCATGGCCAGAGCTCATCGGTGCACCCCGTCCAGTCTGGCGTCCAACAAGGTAGTATCCTTGGCCCTACATTGTTCCTCGTGTACGTAAACGACATTTCAAGCTGCTTGTCGCATGGCACAAACCTGAACAGTTTTTGCTGATGATACCACTTTGTATTCCCTCCTTGACCAAGCCTCGAATGCCTCTGCTGTTTCTCAGCCGCAATGCGAGAGGGTCAACTGAAACGACTGCAAACCACGCAAAACAGAGCCATCCGCTGTATCGATGGCAACCCGCCCCGGACAGCCATGCAGCCGCTGCTCACTGCTCACTCCCTGTACCGTGTCAGCGAGCTCTACAGGCAGAAAATATTGATCACCATCTGGCGGTGCATCCACGCCCGCACCAGCCCTGTGCTCGCCCAGCTCCTGACCCCGGCACAAGGCACCCCTACCCGCCATCAGCAGTCAAATGGCCTACTAAGCCAGGCAAACCGTAGCCGCCGCGGTCAGCGGAGATTTTCTGTTGCTGGTGCTCTGCTGTGGAACGCTCTCCCTGGTGGGGTCCGCACAATTACCCGGCTACCTGAGTTTAAGCATGCATGTGTACCATACGCCTGTAGGGAGTAGTTCGAGTTGCTGCTGATCGCTCTGCTCTCCCTCCCCGTGCAGTTCAGTAACCCGCACGTAGTATCACAGATACATCGTATTCTCTCTCTCCCCCCGTTTACCCGCAGGTATTAGTATCCTATTCTCTTACTATGTGCTGCCATAGCTTTTACTATGTTCTTCCATAGCCACTTCTAGGCTAAGCCTTCGCCGTCATTTTATTGGGTCGTCATCCCGTTTGAATGTGCGAAGTGAAATAAAAACCAACCAACCAACCAACCTCACTACAACGCAGCCTAGATGAGCTTCATGCCTGGGGCAAGAGATGGAAGATTGTGTTTGAGCCATCGAAATCGCAAACCATCACTCTAACACACTAGCGGAAGGATGCAGTGAATCCACAGCTGTCATTCGGCGGAACTCCTCTCCCACCAGATGAATCTGTCAAGGTGCTCAGAAGAACGTTCGATTCTAAACTTAGCTACAGACTCCACCTTCGGCAAGTTGCATCACGTGCTAAGCAGCGGCTGGGCCTCCTGCGGAAGGCAGCACCCCTCCTCAGCCACGCAGGCAGGGTGACTGTCTGCAAAGGATTCGTCCGGCCAATGCTGGAATATGCACCCCTGGCGTGGATGGGACCAGCTCCCTCACACCTGGCCATGCTGGATGCTGTCCAGCTCCGCGCTCTAAATGTCATTGCCATTGGCCCTGGTACCATACTTCCCAGCCGCATTGTTCGGCGAAAGGTCTCTGCTCTCTGCCTACCAGGGAGTCGTATACACGACTCCCTGCTGCCTACTGTATAAACTGATGTGTGACCATGGTCTGCCTCAAGTTGCCGCCATATGCCTCCCTCCCCCCCCCCCCCCCCCCCCGCCGGCCATGCCGCCACATCATCGCACAAAGACAGCCCAAGCACAGCACCATCCGCACCAGTTTGAGCTGAATCCGAGTCTCGCCATGAGCTCCGGACTACCATCTGCGCTCTTTCCCATATTGCATCGTACCAGTGTGGAATAGATTGCCACAAGCACTTCTGGACAAGCAGCCAGCTCGGAAACACCTGCAGAGCTTCAAGATTGCTATCGTCACCTGCAACAGAGCGACTGGTGCTCTGCTCATGACTGGTGCTAGCCATGCACAGTGTATCACACTGGCCTTCCATCAGTGGACCCAAATCATGATATTGAGTGACCCTCTTTTAAATTACATTTTAGTCATATCCACGATATGCCCAAGAACACACACACTCTCTCTCTCTCTCTCTCTCTCTCTCTCTCTCTCTCTCTCTCTCTCTCTCTCTCTCTCTCTCTCTCTCTCTCTCTCTCTCTCTCTCTCTCCCTCTCCCTCTCCCTCTCCTCCTCCCCCTCCCCCTCCCCCTCCCCCCCTCTCTCTCTCTCTCTCTCTCTCTCTCTCTCTCTCTCTCTCTCTCTCTCTCTCTCTCTCGCACTCTCTCTCTCGCACTCTCTCTCTCGCACTCTCTCTCTCGCACTCTCTCTCTCGCACTCTCTCTCTCGCACTCTCTCTCTCGCACTCTCTCTCTCGCACTCTCTCTCGCACTCTCTCTCTCTCTCTCTCTCGCACTCTCTCTCGCACTCTCTCTCACACTCTCTCTCACACACTCTCTCACACACTCTCACACACACTCTCTCACACACTCTCTCTCACACACTCTCTCACACACTCTCTCACACACTCTCTCACACACTCTCTCACACACTCTCCCTCACACACCCTCTAGTCCACCGCATCTCACTAGCGCAGCTCATGTAGACTGATGAGTGATGTAGCGCCTACACGCCTAGTGTTTTTTTTTTCTTCGTTTTGTTTCCCCATCTTCCGTAGGTACGTGCAATGTGACAAAAAAAACAAAACAAACAAAAAACAAAAACAAAATACAAAAAAACCAAAACAAAATACAATCTTTGACGAGAGCAGACTACGATAATTACAGTACAGTGTATCGTCTTTTCATTATGCCAATGTTCATTATGCCAATGTTCATTATGCCAACGGACAGAAGCCTGCAACGAATAGTAATGCTATACCTAGCAAGTGAGTTTTCAAAGTACTGTTGCAGCATAGAAATTGCGTTACATTTTTATACGAAAATAGACTGGGGCAAACCTAATATCAGCAGACAACAGAGAGTCGTCGTCATCATGGCCATCGTTGTTGTTGTAGCTGTTGCTGAATATTCTACAATGTCAATGGCAGGGCATGCTGTCCAGTGGTAAACTGCAGCAGCTTTGCTTCAACGGTCTGATCAATCGCTACTGGCTACGTAAAGAAATAGACCGGTAATAAACCCCTCACAGGGGCACGAGCAAGACTAGACAAGAGATCACATGCGATCGCCTACGATCACTACTCAAGTTTTTGGTTATGTTTTACCTCTGGCAGCCAGGTCCTCAATGCTGTGTCGGCCTGCTAATCCTCAGTGGAACAACTCTTCTTCACCACTGACCACTCTCTAGAGTCACCCGAACGCACCAACCACGCACCCACACACACGCACGCGCGCGCGCACACACACACACCGCCACCCGCAACGCACCAAAGTAGCGCACGGCCTGATAGCAGCAGCATTCAGGATGTAGAGCTGGGCGGCTGATGGTCAGGATGCATTTGCAGCAAGACGTTGTCGATCCACTGGAGTGGGCTGTGCAGAGTGACTTCAATCCAACACGGAGTACTTGTCACCTCCTGTCGGCGATACCCTGAGCCCCAGCCCTTGACAAAGCTCACTCTGAAATGGCAGTGAGAGACAAGGTTGTTGACTGCATCGTATCCTTGGTCTACGGCTCCAGTCAGATCTCCAGCTAACCATACGTTGTTGAAGACCCTCATGTTCTGTGTCTTGGTCAGCTTGCACACGGTAGATGGGTGGACGTGATTAATGGCATTGGCGTATCGCGACTGCACAAACAGGCTGGCCTCGCTCAGGCATTCGACAAACACTTCACCGCCAACATAGACCACACGCATGCCTCTGCCAATGTGCTTGCGGGCTCTGTTAATGGTGCTATCACGACTTGGATTGGACAGGTGGCCCAGTGAGAATCGGTCCTGCTGCTGGCTAGGATCTGTGAAGCCATCAACAACAATGGAAATCTTGCTGCTGTTCGCCAAGAACGGTACACCAACGGGCTTGTTCAGCTCATAGTAATGTATAGAACACCAGCAATCCGGCACCGGTAAGGGTACGGCGTTGCCATCTACAAAACGAACACACATACATAACACATGCTTGCGAGCATGCACTTGCACACACACACACACACACATGCACACGTACAAACGCACGCACACAAACACACAAACACACACACCATGACTGCACTGCTGCCGATGAAAGATCTCTTTATAATATTTTTGGAGCGAGCGATGGACTGGAACCTCCTTGGACCAAAACCTCGACTCGGCCCCAATCACTCCGGCCAAAGAGCCGGAGATTTTCATTATTCACTGGCTAAATATTAGATGCAGTCAACAACTTCATCAGGCCTGGTGTCCAAATCTGCTTATCTATCTCGCCCAGATTCAAATTACTTGAAAGACCTGCCAGGCACTAGCATACAATCAGTCATAACAATACACAATTTGATATGCAAGAGGTACCGGGGTCAACGGTTTCAATATTGAATAGAACTGAAGTTGGAAATTGGACTTGGAAACAGCATGTCTCTTTCAACGGTCAGACTTTGATGGCTGGAACAGCATGTCCCTTCCAATGACCTAAAAATAAACTCTATGGCAGTATGGGCTGGAGCTGGACTTACGAATGCTGACGTGTGGACTCGGATCTGGCGGATTGGCCATACTATCTGTGAAAAACAACAGTAAAGACATCAGCATAAAGGGGCATTGTTCATGAGCATGTTGAGACCAAAAATACCGTGAGAAAGTAGTTGGGTGGACACACCCATTCCCAAAAAACCGCAAAGGACCGAATCAATTCTTACCGTGCATCAGTTCGGCAATATCGTTCTCGTCAGGTACAAATGAAACAATGATGCCATGCAAGCCAAAAAAGAGCAGTTTTATATCATAATCCTACCGCCCAAACAACATGATCTGGCGCCAAGAGAGTAATAAATACAACGAGCTAAGCGGCAAAGGTGTAGGTGAGACATTTACTGCCAGAACCCAAACATATTGCGAGGTCACATTCAGTCATTGTCGCCTTCCTTCCTAACACCTATATTTTTCACCTCTTGCACTCATACTGAAAGAGGCATGCCCGTGAGGGAAGCTTCAAGTGTAAGTGATCTTTTCAGTGATGCATGCAGGCTCTGTGGTTATTTATAATCGGATTGTCCAATCCAATGGATTATGCAGTACATTTTATACAAGCATGTGGTTTTGCTGGTACCGTGTAAAGAAGTAGAGCGGAGAACTGTATGAGAAGCCGTGTAACAGTGGATGGCTCATAGATTACGCATCTGCCTTACCACACAATATGAAGCTTGCGGTTGCCTCGTCCCAAGTTCTAAGAGTGCAAGGGCTCTCGTCAAAGGCCCAGATGCGCATTGAAAGCGAGCAGAAGATTTCAGAGCAACTTCGACTGAGTCATTAGTTCATTACCCGGAACACATCATTGCCGAAGCACGCACACGAGCAAGCAGGCCCAGGTGTCGGCGTCGAACGAACCCAGTTTGTGCATTTTTGAATCTACCCTACAAGTCGGATCAGGTTCATCATGCCGTCAATATAGCCATACGAAAATACAAAATTCCTGCAAGAGTAGTATATGAGAATACTGGTAGCCTGAAACATTCATTACGTCGTTCCGCTTTAAAGGGGAAGTGGAGGCTAAAATCAAAATTTCACCAGTTATAGTCTTCGCGGTGCTGAGTCGAATGGTCGTGGTCCGGGGAAGCTGAGACGCTCCCTTCCTACTTTAATCCCAACCGAACTCGCGCACTTCCACCGAATCTGAGTGACTGCGCCCTACTAACGTTCGATGGGGATTTGTATGCAAAATGTCACTAAAAGTGCCATTTTGTTCTTATAAAAGCACGGATGATCGCGATTGGCCCATATGTTGTAGTCTTTTGGACGCTGAGTCGACTGGTTTTGGTCCGAAAAGGCTGCGATGCAGCGTTCGGCCCTTATTCCCAATCAAACATGCTCGAACAAGCGGTCGCGTGCTCCTGCGTACACCAGTCACCTGGTCACCCTGCCTGCAGGGTACAACTTACAGCCTGTTTTGACCTTTTTTGGGTGCAGTCCTGTCACTCGAGTTGAACTCGAGTTGAACCTTGGTGTGAAAGTTGTCGCCTGCTGGCGCTGTGACCAGGTGACTTGGGCACGCAGGGGCACGTGACCGCTTGTTCAACCATGTTCGATTGGGAATAAAGGAAGATTGCTGCATCGCAGCTTTCTCAGACCAAAACCAGTCGACTCAGCGTCCAAAAGACTACAACATATGGGCCAATCGCGGTCATCCGTGCTTTTATCAGAATGAAATGGCGCTGTTAGTGACATTTTGCATACAAATCCCCATCTAGTAGGGCGCAGTCACCGAGTTTCGGTGGAAGTGAGCGAGTTCGATTGGGATTCAAGTAGGAAGGGAGCATCTCAGCTTCCTCGGACCACGACCATTCGACTCAGCACCCCGAAGACTACAACTGGTGAAATTTTGATTTTAGCCTTAACTTCCCCTTTAATCCGTCCCCTATATGTCAACGTGTATAGTCGATTGGTTTTAGGCTTGCCTGTGAATCATGGGGTTCCGAGTTCAAAACCTGCGGTGGTAACAGGGAGTGTGTTTAGTGCTCTTTCAATCGCGGTGATGCAGGCGAGTACCACTTTATATGCAATGAACTGTGCCGACACCCACGGTGAACTGGGTACTCACTTGCTCGGTGTGGCGGTAACAAGGGTGCGGTTTATGGGGTTAAAGGGCCTTTACACGCCCGCTTGTAGAGAGACATATCCCCTCTCCTCTGACTCACTTGTGAGGTCTGCATTCGACACTGAGGATATATTGGCGAAGTGGTGGCCCACCGATGTGAATGTATTTGCTTGATGTGTTCCTAAACATGTCAGGTGATGCGGCCGCGAATCCGGCTAACTTTTTTAAATATTTTTTTAATGTCAAAGCAAGAAACCCATTGCAGCGCAGATCCAGAGGTCGACCCAAGGGCCCTTGCCTGACATGCGACACAGGTGCACAGGATGTTTTGCATGCAGAAAGATATAGTCTATCAGATCAAGTGCAAGGAGTGTGCTGAGCCATACGTTGGCGAGGCAGAGCACTTGATGGAGACCCGGCTGGAGGAGCATAACGGCGAGGCACGCAGACAGGCACGGGCACTCCCTGGGGTGATCACTACCGCACCAAGCATCCCCATGCCACCCTCGTATGCAGACAAAGTGCATTATCAGCTGCTGCAGTGGTCGCTCGGGAGGCAGATAGGGCGCGTCGAAAACTGCGCAAGGCAATCGAGATCAGGAACACCCACCCACCGGTTAACACGAGAACTGGGTGGGACCTTCTATAATAACGTGGCGTGATTGAAGGAGGGGTGAATAATGACAATGACAGCAACCTGATGTAACACATTTGTCTTCTCACCTTTGCATGGATGTATATCTTGATGCTACCTGATGTGACACTTGTTTGACCTTCTCGCCTCAGTATGCATGGGCTTCATCTTGGCTGTATAGCAGCACCTTGGTCTTCTCACCTGTGCTGTGGTGTGGGCTGCCATTGACACTTCTTCCCTCCTTCGGAGCGAGAGGACTTACACCGTTTTGTCGGAATGCCCTGTATACATGTATAACCTGATCCTTAGTACATGTACATGTAGCTGGCAGAGTATCCGATTGTTCAGTTACCTGATGATGGCCATGTGCCGAAAAGTTGTTTAATAATGGAAGCCGTGACATGACATCATCCGGTGCGTCAGCTGATTCTGCTGATTGCCATCCTTTAACAAAATAATGGAATTGGTTCAGATTTACAATACTTGGGACATTACAGTAATCATGCCATACCTGGAGCACCAAAAGCTGCGGGTGCATTATGCGCCGGAGAGGCACCAGGTGCCTGGTCATTGCTGGGTAGGGAGAGTGCCTGAGGTCCCGAGCCAGTCACCCGATGAGAAGGCGGACGGTCGGAAAACCGGGGCACTAGGACGGGCGGTAGCACTGCAGGACCAATAGAGAACACAAACGAAAGACAAACGAAAGACAAACGAGAGACAAACGAAATTCCTTCTTTCTAAGCATTCACATGACACATAGCCTCTGGAAAGTGCTGTATTTCTAACGGTATGCCTAGGTGCTTGAAGTCCGGCCATGGTGTTCTAATTCTAACCACCCATAACAGTTTTCGTTACTACTGTTTTCATTAGGACATTACTTGATGGTGCCGAGAACAGGAAAAATCTCAGAAGAAAAAATCCACTGTCACCACCAGGACTCGAAGCAAGGCTTGAGTTGAGACCAGCAGTGCTCTAACCACTGAACTAGCGTAACTGTAATCCCAGCAGAGTCGGTCTTTGACTCATGATTTTCTTCAGACTTCAAAACTCACGCTTCCCGTGACACTACACAGGCTGGTGGGATGCAACCCTACTGTCAGTCTGTGCCCACACACTTCATGCACAAACTACAATCATGTGTTATGTACATGTATGTATGTTGTTGGTTAACAGCATGTAAACAAGGTGGAGGACACGGTGTTGGGAAACAGTGACCTTTCACCTTGTGACATGCTGTATATGTCAGGCCCTATGTACTCTTGTTGCAGGGAGCCCCAATGTATCAAATTTCATTACCGTTTAGGGTGTTGCCAAAAGGGGAAATGTTGCCATTGTGTGTGACTCACAATCCAACGATCTCTCTTCCTCTGATCAGCTCCCCACTATGCATCTTGATGCCTCGGCACATCAGATCACAGCCATCCACTTTCGACCAGCCAATGTCCGTCGTCAACTAGCGGCGCTGAATCCGCACAAGGCCACTGGCCCCGATGGCCGATCATGATCAGCTAGAGTCCTCAAGAAATGCCATACCACAGGGAGCTGGCAGAGCCTGCTGCTCGCTTGTTCTCTTGCTGCTTCAGAGCAGGGGTCCAGCCAGCTTCCTGGAAACTAGTCCATGTGTCCCCCATACACACTCGAAAAGTTCTCCAAGTCAATTGTTTCGAATTATCGACCTGTGTCTCTCCTCAGCATCCTGTCGAAAGTTATGGAGAGTATAGTCAACCCCCAACTTGCCAACTTCTTGGAACGACACTGTCTGCTGAATACTCGTCAGTACGGTTTTCGTCGTGGCACCGGAGCTGCAGACCTCCTGACTGTCCTACAGTATGGGTGGGCCAATGCCATGGCACAAGGTGGAGCTATGCAAGCAGCTGCCGCGCGTGGACATAGCGGGGGCTTTTAACAAAGTGTCTCATTCTGGCGTAAGGCGCACCAGCTGGGGATAGGGGGTTCCCTGCTCGCATGGCTTACCCACGTGACCTGCGATGTCGTACCATCAAAACTGTTGTCCATGGCCAGAGCTCATCGGTGCACCCCGTCCAGTCTGGCGTCCAACAAGGTAGTATCCTTGGCCCTACATTGTTCGTCGTGTACGTAAACGACATTTCAAGCTGCTTGTCGCATGGCACAAACCTGAACAGTTTTTGCTGATGATACCACATTGTATTCCCTCCTTGACCAAGCCTCGAATGCCTCACTACAACGCAGCCTAGATGAGCTTCATGCCTGGGGCAAGAGATGGAAGATTGTGTTTGAGCCATCGAAATCGCAAACCATCACTCTAACACACTAGCGGAAGGATGCAGTGAATCCACAGCTGTCATTCGGCGGAACTCCTCTCCCACCAGATGAATCTGTCAAGGTGCTCAGAAGAACGTTCGATTCTAAACTTAGCTACAGACTCCACCTTCGGCAATGTGCATCACGTGCTAAGCAGCGGCTGGGCCTCCTGCGGAAGGCAGCACCCCTCCTCAGCCACGCAGGCAGGGTGACTGTCTGCAAAGGATTCGTCCGGCCAATGCTGGAATATGCACCCCTGGCGTGGATGGGACCAGCTCCCTCACACCTGGCCATGCTGGATGCTGTCCAGCTCCGCGCTCTAAATGTCATTTGCCATTGGCCCTGGTACCATACTTCCCAGCCGCATTGTTCGGCGAAAGGTCTCTGCTCTCTGCCTACCAGGGAGTCGTATACACGACTCCCTGCTGCCTACTGTATAAACTGATGTGTGACCATGGTCTGCCTCAAGTTGCCGCCATATGCCTCCCTCCCCCCCCCCCCCCGCCGGCCATGCCGCCACATCATCGCACAAAGACAGCCCAAGCACAGCACCATCCGCACCAGTTTGAGCTGAATCCGAGTCTCGCCATGAGCTCCTGACTACCATCTGCGCTCTTTCCCATATTGCATCGTACCAGTGTGGAATAGATTGCCACAAGCACTTCTGGACAAGCAGCCAGCTCGGAAACACCTGCAGAGCTTCAAGATTGCTATCGTCACCTGCAACAGAGCGACTGGTGCTCTGCTCATGACTGGTGCTAGCCATGCACAGTGTATCACACTGGCCTTCCATCAGTGGACCCAAATCAGGATATTGAGTGACCCTCTTTTAAATTAC